CCTGGCGGAATTCGCCAGGGGAAGTAAGTTAATAAAGGGGTCAGAGAAAAGAGGTCCTTGGGGAAATGATGCAATCTGGGGGTTAAGGAAGACATCTGTGGTCGGCTAAGGGCGCATGGCTCATCCCCTTGCTGGGGACTCAGGTCCTGAGTAATGTGAACCTGCCTGCGGACCTGGACCTGGTGACCAACGCGGAGTGGGTGAGCACCAAAGAACGGCAACAGATACGGCTCATTCTGGACGTGCTCAGCCGCCTGCCCCACCACTCCTCGGCTGTCATCACCGCCGCCAGCACGCTGCTCACGGAGCTCTTCAGCAACAAGGGTGAGGGTCCCCGGTGGGCGGGCTGGTGAGCAGGCGGGTCTGGGGCCGGAGGTTGAGCATCGGTCTGGCCTGGCTGTAGGTGTGCAGGAGTTCGGCTTCTCCAGCAGCCTGGAAGTCGTAGCGGGAGGCCACACCAATGGGTTCCTGCTCCTGCTGAAACCAGGTGGAGGTGTGGGAGGCGAAGATGGACCAGGCTGGAACGGAACTTGGGTATAACTAAGGAGATGGGCGGGACTTAAGATGCGAGAAATCGGGGCTGGAGATGTGGCTCAGCGGTAGCGCGCTCGCCTGGCATGCGAGCGGCCCGGGTTCGATCCTCAGCACCACATACCAACAAAGATGTTGTGTCCGCCGAGAACTAAAAAAATAAATATTAAAAATTCTCTCTAAAAAAAAAAAAAAAAAAAAAGATGCGAGAAATCGGATAGGCGGGATTTTGAGGGGAAGTGACCGAGGGGGAATAGCTGAGTGTAGGAGAGGTAGGCTGGACTTGGGCAGGTAGGTGGGACTGGGGGCGGGATAGGAGAGAAGGACTAAAGGTAATAGGAGGGACTACGAGTGATGTGCGAAACTTGGGGTACAAACTGGGAAGAGCATYTCCTTGAGTGAAAAATAGACAAATAGATACAGAAATCATTTGACTTTGGAGATGTCCCGAAGACAGTAATTGTGCCACCAGTCCCCTCTCTGCCTGGAGCCCCAAGCAGGCCGCATATACCGAGAAGTGGGCCTGGCCCTGGGTCAACCTAACCCCTTCCTTCATCTCACCCTAGGCTCAGGGACCCTGTTCAAGAATGCCGAGAGGATGCTGCGAGTTTGCAACCTGGACAGTCTAGACCAGGGGCGCCTGGTGAACTTGGTCAACGCCAGCTTTGGCAAGAAGCTCCGGGACGACTACTTGGACTCTCTGCGTCCGCGGCTGCACTCCATCTATGTCTCTGAGGGGTGAGCCTGCGGGCCTCAGAGGGCAAGGGACCAGGGTCATTGATGGGCAACTTCAGATCAATTAGAGGTCCCAGCCTGGCTCTCCCGCCCCCTGCTCCAGGTACAACGCTGCGGCCATTCTGACCCTAGAGCCCGTACTTGGGGGCACCCCGTACCTGGACAAATTTGTAGTGAGCTCCAGCCGCCAAGGCCAAGGTTCTGGCCAGATGCTGTGGGAATGCCTGCGGCGGGACCTGCAGATGCTGTTCTGGCGCTCCAGGGTCACCAACCCCATCAATCCCTGGTAGGCCCTGTCTCTCCCTCTCTTCTGCCACTTCCGCCAGCCATGACTGGGTTTCACCATCAAGATGCTGAGCTCCCCAGGGCTGGAGATATAGCTCAATTGGTAGAGTCCCTGCTGCAGATGCACAAGGCCCTGGGTTCAATCCCCAGCACCATAAGAAAAAGATACTAAGCTTTCCTTCTTTTACTAGCTTCCCTTCCACAGAGAATGTCCTGGCCTAGGGTTCCCTAGTGACATTCCTCAGGCCCACATCTMTGCTTCCCTTGAAGCAAGTGATACCTCCTAACCCCCATGCAGCAGCCTGTCTCTCCCAAGAAATCCTGACCCTTCTAGAGGCTCCTTTCAGACTCCATTGCCAAACTCCTTATTCCAGGTCCACAGTACCTTCAATGAAAAACCCCTCCTCTCTTTTCTTCATAACTATGCCCCTATCCCTCCCTACCCTATTCTGTGGACACTAAGAAGTGACCAAGGGGCTGGAGCTATAGCTCAGTTGTTAGAGACCAAGAAGTTGGATATGCTGGCATATGCAAGTCTCATCTACTTGGGAGGCTGAAGCAAGAGGATCATAAGTTCGAGGCCAGCCTGGGCAACTTAGCAAGACCCTGTCTCAAATAAATAAGTAAATAAAGTCACCAAGAACCAACCATCAAGGCAGTGGGGAGAGGAAGGGATGTTCATATTCTGACCTTCCTAGCTGTGACCCTAGCAAGTTAGCTCACTTTCCTGAGTCTTAGCTGCTTTTCTGTGAAAAGACAGTACAGCCTGAAATGTCAGGCTCAGCTACTACTGAGGGGAGAATGAAGTAACACAATGGGTCCCAGCTGGGCATCCGGCATATAATATACAACTAATAGACTCCTGAAAACAGACTCAGTGAGTGAGCATGAGCCTTGACCTAAAAGCTGCTCCCTTTTCCTTCCCCGCACCCAGGTATTTCAAGCACAGTGATGGCAGCTTCTCCAACAAGCAGTGGATCTTCTTCTGGTTTGGCCTAGCAGATATCCGGGACTCCTATGAACTGGTCAACCATGCCAAGGGGCTGCCAGACTCCTTCTGCAAGCCAGATTCTGACCCAGGCAGCTGACCCTTACCACAGGTCCTGTAGGCCCTGGGATAGCCAGGGTAAACGGAAAGCCATGCCTGCTGAGGGTGACCCCAGGCAGCCACAGGCTGGTTGGGGCTTGTTGGCTGAGTAATTTGCAAAGAAAGAAGCAGCCCCAGCTCTGCGMAGAGGGAACACCAAAGTGGGACAAGTACAAGGAGGGGGGGGGGCCAGCCTAAGGTTTTGAAGACACAACCAGGTGCCTTTCAATTTTCAGCCTGGGGACTGCGGCATGGGTGCCTTGGAGGGCCCTACTTGAGGCTAACCTTAACGATAGGCCAGTTTCTAGGCCTCTGTGCCATTTTGAGGCTCCCTTGCCCAAAATCTCTGTCTCACACACACAGACACCACCTGATATTCTATCACTCACCCTAATTCCTTTGGGTCTTGCAATTTTTCAGAAGGCCTTGATTAAAATGCAAATACTTCTGTGAGTCAGTTCACACTTGAAAGGAAATTAGCAGTGACCCTCTGGAATCAAGAACTTGAGAACCAGGGGACTTATAGAGTAAAGGAGACAATAAGACGGAGGGCCCCAAGGATGAATGCTGCCATCATCTCCTCACCTGATGCCAGCTTTCCCCTAGGTTAGAAGACATTTCAGGCCAAGAGCAGCCCCAGCCTCCATCCCCTGTGGGAGCCCCACCCCCACCCCCAGCTCCCTTTCCGGGCTGGGCCTAGTGCAAGACCAAACATCAATGGCTCATCTTTTATCYACAAGAGCCCAGAGAAGCCACAGGGTGGGTTTGGCTTGAAAGTCTAGACTTGGATATGTCCCCCAGCCCCAATGGAGCTTGTGTCATCTCTGCAAGACCAGCATACCTCAGAGGAGCAGGAATCCAAAGCCCAGACATTTCATTCACCATTTTTTGATGCACATGTCAGGTGCCCTACTAGATACTAGGATTATTTTCTGTCCAAAAGTGCACAGAAAAATAGGGAGATGTTCAATTAAAAGCCCCTCTTGGTGACAAAACCCAGGCCCTCAGAGAAACCTGTCTTCCCTCAAGAAACATGTCTCAAGACATACTGGGCTTAGGTACTAGACACCTGACCTAGAATCCTGCTTTGTAGCTGGACTTGCTCGGCAGCTTGGGATAAGCTGCTTACCTTCTCTGAGCCCCCATTTCCTCATGTGAACATGTAAAATACTTGTTGAAGTGGACACAACCTTAGTTCACTCCCTCTAATTGCCCTTGCTAAAGTTTTCTTCAAAAGAGCTGGCCCCAAGTGGGGAAGGAAAGACAAGCTACAAGAGTGAAAGAAATCAAAAGTATAAACAACAGTAAAGATTTTGAGGTTTTGCTGTTTTATCAAGCTGGAGATTAAACTCAGGGACTTGCACATGCTAGGGAAGTGTTCTACCACTGAGCTATACCCCAGCTCAGATTTTGAAATTCTTGAAGACAGTCAAAGGACTATGGAACTTTCAGAACAGGGGAAACCATGGGAGGATCAAAGTTGGGCTTAACCAGATATGGTGTTTCAAGAAACTCACAATCAATCCCAGCCAATGGCAAAGTGCCCTGTGAGGAAAACAGAAAAGTGAAGCCAAATGTCTATATAAAGTGTTTATTTTTGGAGGACTGTGTGGTCTGGTGTTTGGGAGGGCACTCTACTCCCACCAGGCCAACCATACAGCTGGAAACAGACAGCAGGGATGGAAGCTGGCTGCTGCCTGCTCCACCCCCTACATGTCCCAGAGGTTCTCAAGGTACATGACAAGAGCTGGTACTGTTTCTGCCCCCAGCACGCTCTAAGAACTGTGTGACTTCTGTACTGCCAACTCTTCTGTTCCTCCAGGGCCTGAGCCATATGTGTCAACACAGTCTGAAAAGCAACACAGAGCTTAGCTGCATCTGCTAGGTTCAAAAGGAAAATTTTCCCATTCATGCACTTCTCAGTCTCCATCTTCCTTCCTCTGWCACTCACTCTCAGCAGCTGCACACTGCCAGTTCACTCCCTTCTCAAGAGTTCTCCCCTTCCTGGGGACCCAGGAAGCAGCTGGCCTCAGCTCTCTTCTCAACAAACAGGAAAAAGAAAAAAAACCAAAAAACAAAAACCATGAGGCATTAAGTTCAGGGATCCCACCTTCCCAAGGACAAGCCAGGAACCGAGAAAGAGACCTGAAAAAAAAAAAAAAAAAAACGGGGGGGGGGGAGCCAAAGAATCAAACAGACCAAGAAGCATAAATAAACAGCAACAGGGCCAGCGAAGCAGTAGCTCCCTGTGCCCATATCAGCCTCTTGCTGTAAAACTCAGCCATCAGTGGCCAGAATGACAGCAGCTCCGAAGTTACCCACACTCTCGCAGAGGAGTTTCATCTAGTTCCAGCATTCTGCACATCACATGTTGTGCCAGTTGGCAATGTTGCCATCAATGAGCAGCATGACTGGGGGCAGCAGGACAGCCAGGATCTGAGCAGCCAGAGTCACRTAGTAACCTGACAAGAAGGCCAGGGCCAGGATGCCGTACAGTACGAAGAACAGCTGGATCATCAGCTCCCCTCTTGGGAGATAGTTCAGATATGCCAGTCGGTCTTCCTTGCTGTGCTGCAGTGAGTAGGCCTGGAGACACACCATCCTCTAAGACTCTCCAACAGGCTGGRATGCCCATCTGGGGAAGGCCACCCATGGGATGGTACCTGCAAATCAGCCCTGCAAAATGGGCCACTAAGTCCTCTCTCAGAATGGGGACTCTTTGAAAGTAGGACCTGTTTCCTTCTCTGACTACAGGGCCCCAGCAGGTTAAGCTGTATTTCCTCTTCCCCAAGGGCTTTTTTTTTTTTTTTTTTTTTGCGGTGCAGGGAATGGAATATGCTAGGCAAATAGTCTGCCACTGAGCTACACCCCTAGCCCTTTTAAATTTTCTGAGACAGTGCCTCCCTAAGTTGCTAAGGCTGGCCTCAAACTTGTGATTCTCCTGTCTTAGTCTCCTGAGAAATTGTGACTACAAGTGTGCAGCACTGTGCCTGGCCCTCTGGGGCTTCTGAAGGAAGGAAGTATATATCCACAGTCACACTGGGGTGTCCCACCTTTGAATATACCATGGAATCCCACATGGAGTCCTGCACAAGAGTTTGATACCTGGCAACTAAGATGAGGCCAAGTACCTTCCACACTAGCCTCCCCTAGCACCAAGGAGAATCATGACTGACCACCCAAGGTACTTCCCATCAGCTCTAGGTGGCAGAGTCCTAGCTACAATCCCATCAAACCGCTCCTCTGTCCACTTTCCCAGTCCTCTAGAGGCTGAATCCATAAGAGAAAACCACCCCATCTTGTTCTTCTGTCTTTCAGGGTTGGAACTGAATGGTCAATCCAACTTCTCTACCTGGTGGGTTTAATGTTGGAAGAAGGGCTCTCAGCTAGCTCTAAGGTGCCTGGAGGGCTGGTGAGCCCAGAAGCTGTCCAGGGCAACCACTGCCAGCCASGCCATCAGCAAGCCCTTGTTCTGACTATCTTCCTGGGTTCTGTCAGGCCTGGGCTCACATTTCATTCCCAGTCAGGCACCTCCAAACATTAGAAACCCAACCTACCACGCAGATGAGGTAGATGCCCAGGAACACCTGGCCGGTAGACTGAAGAGAGCGGCTGCGGGGTTTCCGACGGTATAGCTCCCCAGCACCGCTGGCTAGCACCAGAAAGCCACCGATAATGGCAACTGTACGTGAGTACATACGAACCTAAGGCCAGGGCAAGGAGACTCCAGTCAGGAACTGCAGCCACCACATTTTTCCTGGCTGCCCAGAGTATAGAACTGCCCATTTCTACACATATGATTCCAACTGATAATGTCCTCTTATTTCTAAGGGTGGTTGGCAGATAAAACAGAGATAGATATTTATTTTTTACAGAAGTGGAAACTGAGGCCCAAAGGGGTTCAGAAAATTGTCCACAGTCCTACTGAAAGTAAGTGACAGAACTCAGACACCACACATTTCCCCTTTCCCCATCCGGTAGGTCTGGAGACTCAGTCGGTGTTCTTTCCTCTATACAGTATATAGAACAGAGTCAGAAAAAGGAAGAGAGGGAAGGAAGAAGAGCCGAACTCACCCTCCTGTAACTGTACACATATCTGCCTCCCTTATTGGACTGACAGTCCCTTCTGCGAAATTAGTCCTTTTCCAACCTTACCTGTAAGCCTGCAGTGCTCAACATAGGTTCTGACATTTACAGGTTTAAATGCTGCACTARGATTAATTACATTTCATAAAATTAGATGGTTGAACCAGATACTCACCAAGGTCCTTGTTGATGTATAAATCTGGGATTACTAAACTAATAGTTTAAAGGATTCTTAGAATACGTGACCTGGGTTCTGATCCTACCAAAGAATGATGTAATATGATCTCAGTAAAAAGTCTTTCCCATCTCTGGWCCTCAATTTCAACACACTGAAGGGAAGGTTTGTGTGCTCACTTAAGGATCTTCCATTTCTGCCTTTTAACACAAGTCTAAGGATTCCGTCCTCCCAGGATTCACATCTGACTAGCACACTATGCAAGCCCACTAAGTGCCCTGGGAATTGGTCTGAAGCTCCCCCTTCTGGGGCCAAAACGCTCACCTTCAGCCAGTCCCCGTAGTGGACGTAGCCTCCGATGTAGGCGGCGTAGGTGCTAATAGCCAGCTGGAGTGCTGCCCCCAGCGCGAACCAGCGCCGCTTCACTCCGAAGGACATGAAGCTAGCACACAGCACGGCTGCCCCCATGTCGAAGTACAGGTAGGGCACTGGGATGTCGGGCTTCCTGCGAGCCGAGAAGCAATGAGGACAGAATAAAACCGGGAAGAGCCTTGAGACCCCGTGAGTTCCCCCCAAGCTGCACTGCTCCCTCAATTGAAGACCCCTCTCGTGGCTAGAACCACCACATCAGATCTGGCCAGATGCCCAGACCATAGCACCCCTCCCAAGTTCAAGGCACCAATTCCTCCCAGTCCAAGAGTCCCAACTTCTGGGCCCCAACTTCTTTCCCACATCACTGCAACCCAGTTCTCAGGACAGGCCGTATCGTCCCCCACCGCGTTCGGCGGCTGCGTGGGCGCGCTCACCGGCGCGCCTCGGCCCTTTCAGCGTACAGCATGAGCTGACTAAAGCAGCCCCAAAAGGGGCAGCGTGTAAGCAGCACCGAACCCAACTGCATGATCAGCTGCAGCATCCATCGTCTCGAACCTATCTTCGATGCCATCTTGGGAAAGGGCAGTCCGCAGCAGCCTCACCCGGGTCTGGGAGGAGGGCTCTGGATGGGCCACGCAACTTCCGGTCCCTTGCTTATTGCTTCCGACAGAAAACGACGCTCTCGCTTTCAGTTCCGAAAGGAAGGAGGCGTTCTCTTAAGGGAGTTCAGGCTTCTACTCTGCGGGTGTAGACTTCAGGGCCCCACTTTGTACCTACAAAACTGAATACTAGACCTCAGTAAGGAACGATGGGGTCAGAACCGTGTAAGTCCTGTATTGTAGCTTGGTGTATGAAAGCAAAGTAATCTTTGCAGGCAGAACTTTAACTCTATGATGTTGGGCACATTGCCTAAACTGAGACTTAACTGTGGAATGGGGATAATGATCACAGAGTTTTTTGGAAATTTGTGACAATTAGTCCTAGAACATAGTAGGAATTCAATAAAAGGAATACACACAGAGATCCTAGAAGAAATCCCTCAGCTTCCGTTTAAAGTAAGGAGTACTCCTGGCTCCTGTCTGTCTCCTGAGAGAACAGGGAAATCTAATGTGGCCATTTGGAACACCTCAAATCACTCCATTTTTCCAGTTCCAATGTTCACACTCTAGCCCAAACTATCATTTTTATCAGTTTAACTGCAGCAACCTTCCAAATGGCCTTCCCCACTTCCCCTTTGGCCTCCTCCAATTGGTTCTCAATTCCCCTATTATATATGCTAACATCAGCTACCCTTCCTTTGAATCACAGCACAAAGGCAATTACATATTTGTGACTCTTATATGACTATTTTCCCTCACTAAATTGTGAATTACATGAGGATAAAGACAGTATTTTTGGGGGTGGGGGTACTGCGGATTGAACTCTGGGGATCTCAGCCATTGAGCCACATTCCCAGCCCTATTTTTGTATTTTATTTAGAGAAAGGGTTTTACCGAGTTGCTTAGTGCCTGGCTTTTGGTGAGGCTGGCTTTGAACTTGCAATCCTCCTGCCTCAGCCTCCTGAGCCACTGGGATTACAGGTATGGGCCACCACACTTCCGGGCCTCTATTTACTATTTATAGCCTCAGTATACAAAATATATTCATGAAATATGTACTATATATTAACAAAAAGTGTTGTCAGTGTATGTAGTTCATAATGCTCAATAAATATTTATTAGAGGCAAAAGTTCTGGGCATTTTAGGGTTACCACCACAAWGCTGCCCCCCATCTTCCTGAACATACCTGTACCCTTTAACACTGAATTCACCCCACAATACTGAAGACCCTGCAAGCACCCCTAGTGGGTCATTTGATTCAGATCTACTTCCAATTCCCTGGAAGGGGCTCATGTCCAAACAGTGTTTCTAACCAATTAAAAAAAAAATGAAGTAGTCAATGACAGCTTATTGTGATTTGGATCTTTAATGCCCCCTCCCAGAAAAAGCTCCTGTTATGAAAGCATGGTCCCCAAAACAGCAATATTCAGAGGTGGGCATTTAGAAAATGATTAGATTGTGAGCGTTGTAACCTTATTGGTGGATTAATCATTTGATGGATTAATAATTTGCCTACTGGTGGTACCTAGGCAAGTGGGCCATGATTGGAGAAGGTAGATTACTGGGGAAGTGGCCTTGGACTGTATCTGTCCATGGTCCCTTCCTTTCTCTCTCTCTTTGCTTCCTAGCTGCCATGAGCTGAGCAGATTTCCTCCATCTCACCCTTCTGTCATGATGTTCTTCCTCTACTGGGTCCAGAGTAATGGAGTCAAGACAATCATAGACTGAACCTTTGAAACCATGGGCCCAAAATAAAATTTTCCTCTTCCAAGTTGCTCTTGTCAGGTATTTTGGTCACAGCAACAAAAAAACTAAAATACAGCTGAACAACAACAACAAATTCTTTTTCACATTTCATTTTTAAAAGTCACTAGGCTAAGGCTGATGTTGTGGCTCAGTGGAAGAGTCTTGCCTCATGTGAGGCACTGGGTTCAATCCTCAGCATCATATAAAAATAAATAAATATAATAAAGCTATTGTGTCCATCTACAACTAAAAAATATTTTTTAAAAAGCCATTAGGCTGGGGCTGGGGATGTGGCTCAAGCGGTAGCGTGCTCGCCTGGCATGCATGTGGCCCGGGTTCGATCCTCAGCACCACAAACAAAGATGTTGTGTCCGCCTAAAACTAAAAAATAAATATTAAAAAAATTCTCTCTCTCTCTCAAAAAAAAAAACAATATCCCTTTAAAAAAAAAAGCCATTAGGCTAAAATCTGGGTATATCAGAAGGAACATGAGTTAATGTATCCATGCAAATAACTAGGGAATGGGATTATGTAATTGTGTAAATCTATCTTGTGGGAATGGGGAGATGTCTAGGCAGAAGAAATGAGGAAAAGTCCACATTCAAAGTCATTTTTCACTAGGCATGGTRGCCCATGCCTGTAACCTCAGCTACTTGGGAGACTGAGTCAGGAAAACTGAGAGTTGAGGCCAGACTGGACAATTTAGTGGAACCCTATCTCAAAAATATCTTTAAGGGGGCACTGGGGAACATAGCTTGGTGGTAGAGCACTTGCCTAGCATTCACAAGGCCCTGGGTTCAATCCCCAGTACCCTCTCCACCCTCTAAAAAAAGTCATTTTGCCTACCTCTGCCCATCAATGACAACCAGACAAATTTAAGTTTTCTTCACCCTAACACAGGCACATAGTACAGAATCACTTTCCAATTGGTTTTATTTTTCCAGTCTCTTTACCCATTCCCRATTCAAGCCCTAAGGTGTTGAGGAGGGTCAGAACAGGAATTAGGAATATCCGTAAAATCATCCTAGAAGCCCAGCTGGGCTGTCCCCACAGGCTGTCCCCCACCATAACATTAGCAATGTTTCAATTAAGTGCCCATCAGCAGAAGTTATTGATATGTGCAAAGAGGGGAAAGATAAGGATTAAGAAAGCTTTCCTTGGTGCCCACTCCATGCCAATCTCTCTGGTTTAGGTTCTTCTTTCACTACCCTCTCCCAAAGAATTGAGAAGGAAAGGACTCTAGCCAGATCCTAGTTTCTAGAGTTGAGACAGATGCCGCCTAGGTCAGAGGAGGGGATGAGTAGGCTATTTAGACCCTGAGAAATCAACATAGCCGTTTTGCCCCTGCCCATACTTCAATTCTGTCTGGGTAGACAATTGAACTTTTCAGAAACTTTCCAACCTCCCTTCTCTAGCTGCCTTGACCTCCTTCTGTAGCCCTCCTCACTTCTCCAGAGGGCTCCCCAGCTATCTGGACCCTCTAGGGCCCTGCCTGCACTTACACTCATCCATAACCACAGCCATGGTAACCAGCATGGTATCTCTGATGCCTAGCACAATGGCCATCTCAGCCAAGCAGAGCTGGGCCTCTACACTGCCCAGCATATGTCAAAATGCCCAGGTTGGCCACATGCCAACTTCCCAAAGGCCCACTGCAGGTCACAGTAGCACTTCCAGGGACTGTTGGACAACAACAGCCATGTGCCTGCTGTCTGATTGTCAACCACTACCTTGAACTCTAGGTTTGCAGTAAGTTGTCCACAAGAGAGAAGAGGCCTAGGGCCCACAAGGCTGCAAGGGCTTCGGCCTGTAGCTTGCTGATGTCGTTCCCAGCCAGAGAGAGGACTGGCATGAAGGTCAAGACAGCACTCTCAACATGCTGCAAATAGTTTCCAGTCAGTGGAGCTAGTATAGGCTGAAGAGGTACCCAAGGCCACTTGTACCAGCTGGTTGTGGCTCTTCCAGGCTCTCCAGGTTCCAAAGCTGTAGGGGTCCAAGGTGGTAAGCAGGTTGTAAGGTCCAGGTGGAGTAGAGCCCGGGGCAGCTGAGAAGTCCAGAGGCAGGTTGGGCCAGCTAATTGCAGCTAAGATCCAGCTGTTTCAGGAAACTCAGGCCCCCCAAGTCCCACCAGCCAAATCTCAAAGAACATTGTGAGAAAACAACAGTATCCACAGTATCCAGGGACCCTGGAAGGAGCCATATAAGGAGTGGCTGAGATTATTTTGGCTCAGTTCCAGGGGCCAGACACTGTAGGAAGTCTGGAAGGGAAACCAATCAAGTGGAGGCCCAAGAGTCCACCACAAGGCCCACAGTTGAGCAGGTGCACTGTGCTGGGCACACTGTTGCTAGATTCCAGAAAAAGTCCAATACATAATTATGGCTACAGCCATTGTGAGCAAGGAGTGGCCCATGAGGGGATGGGCTAAGAATGGCATAAGGCACACAAGGATGCTGATGCTGTAACCCCAGCAACTCAGGAGGTTGAAGCTAGCCTGAACAATTTAGTGAGACCCTGTCTCAAAAGGCAAAGGGCTGAGGATGTAGCTCAGTGGTAAAGCATGCCTGGGTTCAATCACCAGTACAAAAAAAAAAAAAAAAAAGAATCTGACAACATTTCACAATTATGTCTCAACTCATCCACCTAGAGTCATGGAAGTTCAGTGATATTAGAAATATATAAGCAGAGACCATTCAGGGGTCTCATTTACTGGATCCCTACATCCGCAAGCACAAGAGCCATCTAAGCCTGAGACCCCAACATTCTGATTCCCAACCCTAGCTACCCCTTATTGTCTTATTCCTACCAGCATGAAAAACAGTCAGGAAAAATGGTTCTTTAATCCTCAGGGCCCCTCCTTAATGTCACATGTCACCCAACCTCACTTTCTATAAGGCCCCAGGAGAAACTATTTTCTCCTGCTCTTAAACATTCAGTTATACAAAGGCAGCCAACGTTTGCAGAATTTCTATTCTGCAAGAGGACAGAGCCTTGACTCTGGTCTGGTCTGGCCACTAAGGTAAGGGCCTTAAGCCACAAAATTGCGGGGTACTCACCTATATTCTTGGCAACACTTGCTGAGTGAAGCCCAAGTCCAGGAGTGGAAGTGGAAAATCTCAGCTCTGGTTTCCTGCCTACCTGGCCTTTGCCTAAGCCCCAACCTCAAGGGCAACAGGGAGACCAGCTCTCAGGGAAGCCTTAGCCCTGAAGGTCAGGATACAAGACAAGTTGAGAAAATCCTCAAAATCTTGTGACCTTGTACCAGCGTTGCCTTTC